GTCAATCTTATTAACTCTCTAGTAAGAGGCTTAGCGAAATGATTGTCCAAATTATGTCTTGACCTCACTTATGCAAGGAAATTTTTTGTCTTTTGATTAATTTCCTCACATGATTGTGTCTTAGACTAATATGTCTAGACTTTCCATCATACAACTCACTATATGCTGGAGCTAATATTGATTGACTATTACATTATTGAGATAGAATTGTATGTCTTTGTACCCAAAAGGCTTTCATAAAGAAGATCGCTAACCTACTCTCCGCTTCTGTCCTGGTTTTTGCTAGTGCAACGAACTTGGATTCCATGGTTGAGTGTGTGATGTACGTTTGTTTTTTAGATCTCTAATAACCCACTCCTCCTCGACAAGTATATACCAAACCCCAAATTACTTATTTTCACTCTCAATTGATATTCAACTAGTGGTGGACTATCCTTCTACTATAATAGGAAACTTTAAATGATGTAGGCCTAGGGTTTTGGTCTACTTTAAATAATGAAGAGCCTTTCCGATTACCTTCCAATATTCGGCACTAGGGTTTGTAGTAAACTTACTAAGCTTACTAACCAAAAATGCGATATCTGGTATTATACATTGAATCAAAAGCATTAGTCTCAAGAGATATATCTTTTTATAAACAATATGCTACGAATGACGAGATCGATTCTATTATGTATATAAATACTTGTGAGATTGTTGATTTACGATAGGGATCGAAACCTATTGGATGTAATTGAGTATTTAGAAAGAAATATCACTAATCGACAATTTTATTCAAAGTATCAAAGTAATGAAGAACAATGAGGGTTAACCATTTACTAATTCTCATCATGTTAAAAATTTGGTGAATAAGTTTAAACATTGGACAAAAGAAGTGAATACCCATTTGATCCAAGCATAAATTGGTTGTCTGACGAATGAGACTCCAAGAAAATTAGGTTTTTGCAACGGCTATTGACCATTACATTAGGATACCAAAACTGTAAGAATTCGCAGCATTCTTTACATGAATTTCGGGTCAAGAAACTTACTTGAAATGATGAATTCCAAGATCTTTTGATGGTTGAATCACCTTACATTCCAAAGTTCCAAAATCTGCATTTCTTGTTCTCCAATGGTCCCAATCTCGATCACAATGGAAGAGGATTATTATCCACAATTTAAGTGTCAATTTTTTTTTTTAGATTTCATTTCCAAAATATGGTTGTAGGGACTTTCCAATTTTGGTGTAAATTTTCATACGAATTTTCCCTTCATCTTTCATGCCATCTTTTTCCCTCTTTTTCCAATGCACGATCATTGGATGTTGTATGGAAGTTAAGGGTGGTTATATAGAGTTGCATGTTCGAACTTCAAATTCAAACTACTCCCTCCAACCCTTTTAATAACTTGTGGGTCCGTTCATCCCACATGGGCGACCCACGACCCGTATTTTTCTAACATCTCCCACCTGCACATGATGTGCTTGATCCAAACCACAAGGGACAACGAATGTCATGCATTAGACCTTTCTCAAGATTTATCTCACAAAAATTCATAGACAAATAGATCGTACGACCAACGAGTAATATTAGAGCTCACAATACTATAAACATGTTAGGGATATATAGTAACTCGACTAGAAGAATATTATATCTCGCTATATCCCAAACTCATTTTTCAACATTAATTCAAGTATTTCCGATCCCTCGAATATTTATGGAATATACTTGAACCCCACATCATATCATTGTATTCACAATTTGTTCTATACCCTAAATGATTAAACACAATTGTAGAGTCGGTGAATACAAATATAAATGTTGGTCAAAATAGTTTTCCTTTCCTACTTGAATCCTTAAACTTTAAATCGGCTGCTTTCCTAGACATGTCTCATCAAATCGAATCAATCATAGTTATTGACAACATGCTAAAGTAGCAACACCGAAATAAAATCTCAAAAACAGTTAAAAGTCATAAGGGTATATATGATGTTATAGAAACCTCAAGGTCTCACACAATGAGGAAACAGGGATCCATTCACTTATTTACCCAATATTGGTCGTAAAAGCACACGTGGCATGAAACACGCGCTACTTTCATTCTTAGGACGTATGTCATATCCTTTATAAACAAATAACACCGTACAGATCCTAGTTCATGTATTTCCCAATACCTAACTTGAGTTCTCCTTATATTCATTCATCCAGGCAATCTCAAATCGAGAACTCGATCTGACTACTAAACATGTTTAATGGATAACAAAATCCATTTCGATTACTTGTTGTAATCTCATCTTGATATCTTATCAAGGCGATAGGATCACGTACACAACATGATCCCTTTATCTCGTCTCAACACACCCCAAAGTATGTAAGGCAATTGTTCGTATAAGTGAACCAATCTCAACCTGTTTGACATACTTTATATGTGCATGCAAAATATTATCTCGTAATCTCAACAATAGATTACACATGAACTCAAAATTGTTCATCTCTAGGCACATAAAAATCAATCAAGAGTCTTCTGATACACTAAGTATCATATTCTACGTAATTTTAGATATTCGACATTACCGACAAGTACATCTCTAAGCATCTTTAGAGTATGATGAACAGACCATTATTTATGTAGATATATTGTAAAGACACTTTTTTTGCTAATGTCTCTCACAGAAACACTATCGAGTGTTTGGTTCCATCATGATATTTGAGATCTTCATCACATGAGATAAACTATCATGGATCTCATATTCACAACTAGTATCATTAGATGCCAAATACATCTATACCAAACAATTTCTTCAGCTGTGAAGTTATATACTACAAGATATGCTTCTTGCTACTCTATGTAGTAAAATTACACAAGTCTAATAACTATTTGTGCTTGACTAACTCTTATCCTTAGTCGATATTTGGATATATATTTCAATTACAAGTTATTCATTCTACAACAAATAGAATAACTGACAGTAATACTCTTCGGGTATCACAATATCCTTTCTAAGAACAGCATCAATACCTTCTGACTAGATCTATGTCATGACAAACATTAGGACAAGTATACATTATAGCATACTTGTAACTCCTAATCGTACTAGATATGGTTCTCTGGATATTTCTTTGTGCGCTTATGGAGTCCTTGGACATACATGAAGGCCCATATGATTACCTTTCAACATAGAAATATCAACAAGGTAGCAAATTCCACGATTAAAAAAATTCTAGAATCTTTATGGTATATAACTTTTGTGACAAAGAAACAAAACTAAAATAATCTTTTTTAACACAAAATATACAATTTTCTAAACTCACATCCTTCGTCTAAAAAATTAAGGACAATCATTTCAAAATGATCTCAATACACTCATTCTCATGCTTATCCAATATAGTATCATCAACATCAAAATTAGAATTACAACCTACCATCAGACTTTTACATAAATACAGTGATTTTCATCCACATGATGAAATTTTATACGAGATTTAAACCTTATTAAAACTGAAGTACCATTGTCAAGATAACTGCATTAGGCTACAAGTGTAACTATAGAGTTACTACAATATTATAAAAGCCTTCAACATGAAACTTACAAATCGATTCATGTACATTTCTTCAATCAATTCTCTTGAGAATGAAAATACAGTCTATAAGTCTATGTCATGTAATATACGCTTAAAGACAGTATCATGACTAACATCAGCGTATAGAGTGAATCTTACTATTAAGAAAAAAGTTTATCAAACTCAATATACTCATATTGAGTATAACATTTCTCTAAAAAATGAGTTTTATCTATCATAAACTCATTAGTCTTCCATTTAATTTTTAAGAATCTGAATGTTCTCAATAAACATAATGTCCAGTTAAAACTTTCACCAAATCTCAAAGTAGATTGAAATTATGTACTCCATTTATATACTTCCATCACTTTTTTCAAATTTCTCCACTAGTTTTCTAAACCAAGAATCGTTGAAATTGGAATAACTTTTAGATCCCACTCGAAACCAAGATCCATTGAAATTAGATAGTTCTTTGATAGTTTTAACTCGAATAGATAGCTCCCACTCAAAAACATTCGGAACCAAGATCCATTGAAATTGGATAGTTCTTTGATAGCTTCCACTCGAATAGATATCTCCCATTCAAAAACAGATTACTCTCACTTGAATCAAAAGTTTAAACCAACTCTTTTTATTTGTAAATTTGTTGCACATAGTTTACCCGATTAGACCACCCAATTTTGGATTCTTACAACTCTATGAGCTGGTGTCCACTCAATTATGAAAATCTAGAATTAGAATCTGTTTTACAATTTCCCTTATGTGAGATCCCTATGAAATTGATTGAATTGTTTGTTCGCTAACAAGTAAAGTAGACTGGATATATTTCCATCTTAACCGACAGACTAGCCATGCCATCACCATATTCAAAAACGCATTCTTATTCCCATTGGAGAATGCTTTTCCTTCTCTCTATAATCGGTAGATGGGAATGGGAATAAAGTCTTAATATTGAGATGACATGGCTAGTTAGTCGACTAAGATGGACACATAAGCCTTTTATTAGTTTTCACAGCAAACTCAGCCAATTCTGTTACATAAAATTACAAACTGAGTGATTTAATTGCAATTAAATTGAATTTAAGTGAATTAATTTCAATTAAATTTAATTTGTGTGACCTGATTATAGTTATGGTGAAAGTTGAGTGACCGCTTGGTTAAACACTCGTTAAATAAATAAACTATTTGAAATTATGGGAAGACGTTGGAGCATTTCCGGCTCTGAATTTCATTGAAAAATTCGTTGAGGAGTCAATAATATACATACAGGGAAAGTTCGTAATTAAAATTTCAAATTTGTCAATCTTTCAATTAATGCTCTATTTTTGCATAAAATCAAATCACTGACTATCCGTTCAGACTCAGATATTTTAAATTGATATGATTTCCATTTTTTTTTCAATTGCCCATTATAAATATACAAAATCTTTGCCGTTTTCTATCTAAAAACTGGCAAAAATGATGAAGCTCCAATGTTCAATCTTGATAAAGTTGTTAACATTTCATGTTCTGGCAGTTCTTTGTGCTTCACAACAATTTGATTTCTTCTACTTTGTTCAACAGGTCAGTAATCCGTAGTATTTGTGATTAATTTTTATAGCACTGTCAAATTCCGCCAACTCGAAGAGTAATTAATCTGTAATGCATACAGTGGCCAGGATCGTACTGTGACTCGAAGCAATGCTGCTATCCAAATACAGGCAAGCCTGCATCTGATTTCGGCATCCATGGCCTCTGGCCCAATTACAACGATGGCTCGTATCCATCAAATTGCGACCCACAAAGCCAATTCGATCCATCCAATGTACGCAAAATGAGATTTAGTTAAGCCCTTGTTTGACAATCATTGTTTTGTGAAAAAACGAAGTTTTAAATAGTGATTTTTGGTTTACATGTAAAATATTTAATGTGTGTGAGATTAAAAATGAGTATGTAGAAAAAAGTTTGAAAATAATGATTGTCGAATAGGGGCTAATTTTGCCAAGTTTTGAATTTCGAACATAAAAAATTGCTTATAGTACCTCGCCCTAACGAAAATATTGTCTTTGACCATCTAGATTTCAGACTTGACTAGCAGAATCCAAGAAGAATGGCCATCTTTGGCATGTCCAAGCAGTGACAACCTAAATTTCTGGTCTCATGAATGGGTCAAACATGGAACTTGCTCCATATCCAATCTTGACCAGCACGATTACTTTGCTGCTGCCCTAAATCTCAAGGAACAACTCGATCTACTGCAAGTCCTAGGAAAATCAGGTTAAATTACTTTTGTAGAAAGTAAATTTTGTTCGTAATATAATTGACTTAGAAACTTTATCAATGGTTGTGTCAATTGTGGCTCGATACTAAATGAAATACTATTGCACAGGTATTCACCCAAATGGGGAGGTCTATGACTTGGGTTCCATCAAAGATGCAATCAAACAAGGCACGGGTTATACTCCATGGATAGAGTGCAATAGAGATGAATCGGGGAACACCCAACTTTATCAAGTCTACATGTGCGTGGACACTTCGGGGTCTAACCTTATTGAATGTCCTGTGTTCCCTCATGGAAAATGTAGTTCCAATATTGAGTTTCCTTCGTTTTGAGTAAAAAACATGCTAAACAGTATTGATCGAGACATGGAGACAGTAGCATGAACAAGATTTTAGTTTCTTTTCCGTTTAATGTTATTCAATACTGTGTACCAAGCATGTATCATCTCTTTCCTGTTATTCTTTTATCACTTTTAAATGGTAGTGTAAGTACTTTCATTTGTTCTGATTTGTTTATTATTTCATCTAAACAAGTTTTTGACAAATCAAATTCTAGCTTCAATGACAAAAGTGCCTAAAGATCTTCAAGAATTCCAAATATTTAATAGAACGTGGATCCATATCATTATTAATTAAAATAGTTCTGAGTAGATCTAAATTTAAGTATATTTTGGGGTGAGTCTTCGTGAACATTGCTACATTACTAGTTTTCGGTTTTCTGATTCGTGTTACTGTTGCTCTTCGTAATACGGGGATTAGGCGTTAATTCATTACAAAAGAGATGAATAATATGAACATAATATGCTGCATCTTTATACATATATTTTTCAGAATCATTATACACATACATATTTAGTTTCCATTAGCGTTATAGTACTAATTATTGGCTCAAAACACCTGTTAAGGATGTTTCTGGCCGGCACTAAAATTCCCATTGGTTTCATCAACTGCCTTGCTGTTCAAGTCTATAGGACCTGAATCAGAATCATTCGTGAATTTTTTGTTCAAATCCAGGCCCCCTAATAATTCCAATTTTCTCACTTTTTCATTCTTGCCTTCAACTTCATATTCTCTGCTTCTTTCTGGTGTTTCAAGATCTCGAGGCTCGCATAATTCCATAATTGGTCGAGTTTCTTCTTTTCTCCCCGAACTCTCAGATGACGTTAAAGAACTTTCGACTGAACATCCATTGTGTCCTAAAAGTTTGTTCTTTGCATCTCTTAAGATTGAGCCCTCACTCTCTGTCAAAACGGACAATGAAGAACTTAGACACCAGTTCGTGTCGACCATTGATACCAACTGAGAAAGTTCTGTCCGTGCATTTTCTACTTCGATAGAGCAAGAACCATATCCAGCAAGAGTATCTTGTGCTTTTTTCAATACTGACTGCAAATACTTTCCTTGAGCTTCAATTCTTAGCTGCAAATGCCTTTGCACCTGAAGGAAATTCCTTTTTAATCATCATATGCCGTGTTTATACACAATTGACGATGCGTTGAAGTGTAGAATTGTATGTTGTACCTCGATTTGTTCGTGGAGTTTCCTTTGCACCTCCATTTGCATTTGTAGAGCTTGAGCTATCTGCAAACTTCTGAAAAAGCAACTCTAAATTAACAAAATATAATTCTTTAATTTGCATTCAATTTTTTTTTTTAATTATTCTAACAAATCTTACTCATTAATCTGATCTTGTACTCCATTGCAAATCTTATTGGGGAAGTCACTCTGATCATCATCTCTGTAGTCTGCATTAGGATTGTGGACATTAGTACTCGTAGGGTATGTTCATTTAGTGATCCAGGATGGTAATGTATTGTAAAATAGACCAGATTTTAGCCTTTTTTTACTTTTTAATCCTAAAAAGTACTGTCGAGTCCACCTTACTGAGTTTTTATGATTTCCATGATGTCATATTCATACAATGCTGCTTACCTTCTTGTTTATTTTTGTGGTAAGTTTGTGATTGTTGACTTTTTCCCAGTCTATATTTCTGCAGAAAGTACATTAATCCATTCAAAAACACATATAGATAAAATCAACAAGAAAAATAATAAAAATGATTGCCTGTAAATGACTCTTGAGGTGGTACAAAGTGAGTCCATGAATGCCCATCATCCTCATCAAGGATTTCGGTGTAGCCTCTGCATTATAAAGAATATCAATAGTATCAATAAAATGGATATAACATGAAGATCTTTTCATCGATCCCAATAGCAATACTAGAAATCAGTACTCAACTATCTGCTCCTCCAAGCTGCTCGACTGCATCAACGAATCGTTGGTGCAGTTCTTGAGTCCATTTCAATCGTGGCTTCGCATCACTTGATAAAACTAAGTTCATTTCTTTATTATGAAGATTCTGAAAAGCCATCTCTGTTTGTATGAGAAGAAATGACTTTTAGCTTGAAACATAGGAAAGGTTTTCTGATCCTTACAACTATGTCTTCAATATGTGGCAGCCTATGATTCTCTTTATAATTGAGAGTGGTTACCCTGTCCTATGTATTCACTCCATATCTGGAAGGTAGGGTAGGGTGGTGATGTGGGGAGGGAATATATGCTATGAGCTGTGCCCATTCCTTTCTTCCATTTCCCATTTCACATCAAACTTTCTTTATTTCTAATTCAAAGGTTTTTTCTTTCTTCTTTGNTGGAAAAGATGATGGTGATAATGCTCTAATGGATGTTTCTTTTCAACAAAGGGATAATCAGATGAATATTTCTTTATCAGATTTATTTATTTTTTTTCAAATTGGCTTATTCTTTTTGTTTTCTTGTAGGGGCATAGGAATCAAAGAATCTAACATTAGATTTTAGGACATGGTTGTTAAATTTATGTTATCAATAACTACTTTATAGAAAGATAAGTGTTGATAAAATAAGCAATCAATTAATACTATTGATTTGTTTCATCATGGAAGTAATAAGATCATAAACCACAACAACAAACTAAGATCTTCTCTCATTTAATTTTGGATGACTAAGTGAATTCATTTCCACAAATATGCTCGGATGCACATGAAGATCTAAAGTAGTTCCTGGAAACTAGGATAAAAAAAGAAAAGTAAATCAGTACCTTTGTCGTACCCAGAATCTAGGAAATTAGTCCTTATCAACTAAATTAGTAAAAACTCGTGTAGAAAACTTACTTTTCCATAATCAAACTGATATGAATAAAAAAAAAAGTTAAATTTTCTCTTGAAGTCCAAGAAAAGTATATACTCATAATTTATGAAATAAGTTGATCAAAAGAGATTAAAGCCATTGACCAGGTTTTGTGCATAGTATAAAATTATCAGTCTCTAGTTATTCCTTTTTCACTGATTGATTTTATTTGACCAAAAATATAAATGTAAACTTATTGGAATTCATTATGGCATAGAATCTCTTTTTTCTCTTGAAAGTAATCCACAAACAGAAGGAAGTGACAAAAAGTTCTAATATAAGTTGATTATAAGTTTATAGTGAAGAAAAGAAAGAAGAAAGGGAAAACAAAAGGAGATTCACAATGGCAAACAACAAATTAAAGTCATGATTTAATCAGATTAATCTTTCCAATTCCTCGGATTTCGCGTAAAGAGTTTAATCTCTGGAATCAAAATCCAATGATAGATCTACAAAGCATTTCCATCTTAGTGCCATACATTCACTTAATCTTTAAGGATGAATGTGATACACATCATCAAAGAAAGGTAACTTGAAATAATCTCTACCTTTAAGTGATACACATGTTGGGTTCGGTCACATAGCGTGTAGTGTAGGCGCAAATGTTCCATCACTCATTACCGACGGTAATACCCAAAATGCCATACATGTATCTTTTTCATAGTCTTAACGACTAAAGAGAAAAAGGCCTTCGCAACTACTAAAATTATACTACGTCAAATTGGGGGGGATGAATCCCATGTCAAAAAATTAATTTCCAATAGATGCTTGTGTTATAATATGTGTGAAGCTCTCGGGGGTAGAAAGACTTATTCTTTGTCCAAATGTTTAAAAAGGAAAAAACAAAAGAAGATTAAATGAAGTAACTTTTACTTTAATCAGCTGCTGTACCTGAAGCTTCTTTTCTTTAATATATTCCAAAACAAGTAAAGGAGATTCTAGGATGATGCAAAACAACCCCTTGGAATTTTAGTGTCAGCAGCAGAAGGTCCAGTGAATCAAAAGTAACCTAAACAAATTGCCTCTCATCAATTATTATTCTGTTAGGGACCCCAAAAGAGGCTTGGGAGTAAGATCTCAATAATCTGAAAGTATGAAAAGAGGATGAGAAGCATATGGCCTCAGGAATCAAAGAAAGTGAAACAAAAGGAACCTGTCACAATCCCACCGAAGAATAATTGCTATTTATCTTGGAAAATTCATGGATGAAACCTAACTTCTCTAAGAAAGTTACGAGAGCAATACGATCAATTGTCGTCTGCTACCTTTCTATCGTCGAGGACATAATATATAAACTAAGTTTCCTCACCATCCATTTATAAAAAAAATTTGTGTCGTGCTTTTGATCGAAAAAATAAAAACACTTAATCTTGCCTGCACATAAGGGGGCACGTTGAAGGCGTTATTTAAATAATTAAGTCTTTTCTCTGTGTAACAACTAAATCTTTTTTACCAGGTGGTTCAATATCTACTACATCTGTGAGCATTTCTAACCTTTGTGACTGAAAGGAACTCTCTTAAAACATCATAATTTAACAGTAATTATGTGGATTCTTTGGCAAAATTTTGGAAATGAGTATGTATTACTCCTGGTAAGCATCTATATTAGTTGGTAAACTGGTGATTTTCAAGGCAGGTGCTTCATTTCTGTATACATGATCATAACATTGATTCCAATAAGAACCTTGTGAACCAATTTTCTATTAGATTGTGGAACCTAATCATATTACACACTTATCCCCTCGACCACAAATCGACCTAATTGTCCTAACATATAAAGGATTCTCAACCTATAGTATAGTAGTAAGTGGATTTATCTCTCAAATTGAAACTAAATCACAACAAATCTATATATAGTTATTACTAATCTCATAATTCATAACATGTTTTGTCGGAGCATGTATGATTGGCTCTGGATCTAAGTAGGCCTACCTTCCTATCAGAAGCAGAAGCAGAATGCATTAATACTCGAGTAAATTTCTGAATTAATTTATTATAAACATCTAATAGCATGGAAATTAATTTCATCAACAAAGCATATGCAAGTAGATTACAGTTGAAAGCTTTTTAAAATAAGGTTTATGCTCTGAGCCAGGAGTACTATATTTTCTAGTCTTTACCTGGATAATTATGTGTAGGGTTTGATATGGTTTGGTTACCTAAAGAGAACCGAATCAAACCCAAATTTTTGGGTATTTAGTACGTGGAACCGTCGGATTCCAATTTAATTATGGCTATTCGGTTCCTGGGTTTCATACCATAATTAATTTTTTAAATATTTCAATAACACTACATCAATTCAATCTTAACTATTACAAAAGAACATAGTCCAATTTAAAATTATACAAATAACAAGTTGTCTAATAAAATTCATTTATCAATGTATATAAATTACCAAAAAGTAAATAATAAATATTGGTGATTTCATCTCATTGATTTTGCTTCAAGCCTTCAAAGCTAGAAAAAAAAAAATCATATTTTGGGTTTGAGCTAAACTAATTAGTTGGCATGTGAAATAGGAAATTATATTTTTGGACTCAATTAATTATTTGACAAATGTATTTAAAAAATTTAAACTAATTTAGAGAGATTTGGTTCTTATGTGATTATTTTGTTGTAGTCTAGAACCGAGAATTGATGTATTAACCAAAAACATCGATTCTCGATTCAAATACCCATTCGGGTATTTAATTTAAGAAAAACCACTCGATTCGATTGGTTTGGTTCGGGTCTACTTCGATTTGAGAGTTTTGTCCAACCCTAATTAGGTGCCGCCCCACTCATTCATGTTCTAACGTTCAGTTACTTGTTGCATATCTTTGTCTTAGACCCTTAGACCCCACATCAGGAAATAGGGAGACATAATGATATCATAAAAATATTCCTTGTAACAATTATTGCAGGAATATATTGATTTTTGTAGCGGCTTAGTATAAGCCATATGGTTGTGTCACGTTTCATTTTCAACCTAAAATTTAAGGCTTATTTCAATATTGTACCTCTAGTTTGTAATATCTTCTAACATTTGATCTTTTAGTCGTTGAAGGAATGCTTTGGAATTTTGTATTTCATTCACAAGCGCAACTCTCAGACAAACACATTTATGAAGCAAAAAGATTTACTGAGCATTGGACTTCATCAATGATGTGAAAACGTTCACCTGCAGTTTCTTTTATATTTAAGAATGCAAGAAAATATTCTCTTCTGATCTTCATCCAGCTTTCCCTCAGGGTGGTCTTGGAACTAGCCCATGTCCTTTTCGGAAACAATGAAATGAAGAGGAGGAAGAAGAAGAAGAAGAAAAACTGTTAAAATACCGGGCAGATTTATTCTGCCCCCCACAACGTGACACCATCTACCAACAAATTTTCCACATCAAAACGCTTATCGCATGTTTAGCAAGCAGGATTGAACTGCACTATTAAATGAAGAAAAAGGGGCTAAAATCTTTCCTATTGGTCTAGTACAATCTTATACATCATTTCAAACATGCATATATGGTCATTTTCTATTAGTTATTCGGAGTAAAATCAACGCTTGTATTTATGTGGAGATCAGAAACTTGCATGACATTTGACATTGTAGTCTGATAAGGTAGCGCTTAAAAAATTAGACTTGCTGATCCAAACCAAGAACTGTTTCATGGAGATTTGTGACAACTTTTCTTACATGGACTTGTAATAAATTTGACAAATACTAAAAGTATTTTATGATGTCTAGCAGAACAGTCTGGAACGCCTCGGTTCTATATATGTCCTCTCCTTAGTACAAATTTAAGCAATTAATCAGGACAGACTACAGAGGATGGTGAAATATTTTGTGGAGGTGCTGGTCCAGGCTCACTACAAAATGCTGCTGAACCAGTCCTATGGGCAGGCCACATTGACCACCTAAAAACACAATGAATCTCGTGTTTACACCTCTAGGTGAGAGTAAAAACGTTCAAGGAAAAAAGTTGTATCCAATTATGTAGTCGTGAAATCAACCATTTGTCAACTGTTCTTGACACTCCAAGGCACCAACAGTTTTATTTACCTACTCCACAAGCAAAAAATTTCATCATTAGAGGTTAAATGGTACTATATATCAGGATATCAGTAAAATAAGCAAGCAGCCCAACTGATACTGGCATGCAATTTAACCGCCTCTGAAGGAAAAGTTCAAATCGATGGGATGGGAAAGAAATTCAGGAAGAGTACGTAATGGTGAGATACACGCCGAACACGGGAAAATAACAGGATTATTTGGTCTTTAAGTGGCTGACACCTAAGATCCACTTCCTCCACTCAACATTGCTTTTAATCTTTGTGGAGAGTTTAAGTGGTTCCTTTGAGTAAATAAAAAGATTATTCCAATATCTCAGATGCCTTTTCCTTTTTCCCTTTTTTTTTTTCCCTTTGAGCTCTCTTGTT